GATGGAAATGTGAGGAAAATGCTTACATCTGACGTTATCGTGAGGGAGAGGCACATAACTAAGGGAAGTAGTTTATCGAGACATCTGTTCACCACAAAAAAACTGTACCGTCTCAATGTATTATTATATTACGATCTCTACAATGGGGAGACATGTTTTTGTCTACCAGCAGTGTGAGTTCACTGAGGATGGTTAAACATTTAGCAACTTGAAACTTGAAATCTGTTCATGAGTGGGATTTAATGTTAGTAATGCACATGACAATTTCATTTGCTTTTCATAATTTTTGCATGAAGAAAATATTAAGTCCTTCATCAACAAATTGCTAGAAACTATTATCTCAATCTTTTTCCAAAAAAAAAAAAAGTTTTAAAAAAAGTATTTTACACTGAATTAATCTTTCTGTTTCTCTGCAAGACGGGGATGTTAAAACAAAGTTCAAATATGTTAAAATCTTCTATATGAAGATTATTTTAAAGTACATTACCATTTTAAAAACATTATATTTTTCTGAAGATCATTTCTTATCTTTCTCCTATAACAATTATTTGAAATATTACTTTTTTTTTTTTTAATTAAAAATAAAACCAAATAACAAAAACAAAATTATTATTATTACACCTTAACGGTTTACTAAGTTGGTCTAACAACTGGCTGCTTATTAACTTATGTAAGTGGTCTAACAACCGCTGCTTACTAAATAACACAAGTTTTTTTTTTTAAAGTAATACACAGTAAAAAATATATATATTGGAGGAAGGGGAAAAAGAGATGGGGGAGGTGGGTAAGGAAACCTGTTTTTTTGGTGGTTTTTTTTTGGTATTTGACTAATGTTGCCAGGTTATTAAGAATAATTCCACAACAAATATAAAAATATAGTAAATAAATATTTTTTTATGGAAGAAATTAAAATAAATCACTTTTTAAGCTGAAAAAAAAGAGTTTACAGGGAAAATGGCAATCCAATATGTGAAACAACCCATATGTGACACAATTTACGTGACACATCCAAATATTCAGTTAATTTTCCACTCTTATTCACTGTTACAAATTTGCTTGTAAAAAAAAAAAGAACAAAAAAAACATTCAAGTTTCTTTTGCAACCTCTGTTAATCAGTGCTGACATAAAAGTAACAAGGAGAAATAGGAAGGGGGGAAAAAATAAACAAGGGGAGGGGGGGAGAGGAAGGCACAGGTAAATTAAGGTAAGATTCATATCAAGTCTTTGCTCAGCTCTTCACATATAGTAGGTGTGGTGTAGAGGGCAGCACATGCATTGCACAGCAACGACCAGCATACAGTGATACAGTTAACGGTGTTTAAAAAAAAGGCTGGAGAGAAAATATTAGTTGAATAAGTGATGAGGAAAATGTTTATCTTTCAGGGAATGGCACTACTAATTTTGAGGCTGTGAGCTGAATCAATTTGTGCCCCACCTACAAAATGTATGAATCATAGCTACATGCGCTTGTCCTTTGTGAATTAAGGCACCAAGGCATGCTGTTTTCAATATGTAGGCAGCCCCTCGCGTCATATTTGAAAAAAAAAAAACAAATTGTCCTCATACCTGTAAGGGTTGCCAGGTCTTACCTTTTGCATAACAGCTTTACGTTTTTTGTGTGTGTCTTAACTGCTTAAAAAGTTAGACTTTTTTACTCTAACTTTACACACACACAAAATAATTTTTTTTTTTTTTTAAAAGAATTAAACATGGCAATCCTAAAACCTGTCCACACAAATTTTCTTTCCCAGATTTTCATTTTAAACTTTATTGTATAGACTTTTAACTTAAATAACAATTAACCTCAGTCTTGGGATATGTAGTTTTAAACAAAAAACATGATAATTTAATTTATGTCAGATAACCTCATGTTAGAAATTGTGACGACAATTTTATTATTGCTCCTTTTAAGGTCTCCATAAATCCATGGACTTAACATAAAAATTAATAAATTTAAAAAAAAACTCTGCATCTGGTATCGGTGTGGAAGGCAGGCAGATATGAGGTCCATTATCTTAAGTCATTGGGGGGAGGAATTCAATGGTGAATAAAAACACATAAGGAAAATTGGTGCAAATATCCATTATGACACTCAAAAAAGGTAGGTAGGTTGGGGGGGGGGGGGGGGGGGTTTATTGGAATGTTGCATAAAAAAGTTTCTGTTAAAACAGGGTAAAGGAGATATGAAAGAAAAAGATGGCTC